GAATATGTGTTCTTGATCTTATAACTCACTTGGTTAGGTCCAATAATGGTATCAGCAGAATGAATATGTGGACAAAGCTGGCAACGGGGTTTGTTGCAAGGGAAGGTACCAGGGTTGGTATTAGTGTGGTATGTCCTGTGGTGGTTGGTAAGAATCATCTTGAGGTTAGGTGGTTGTCTATAGGAGACTATGGGTCTGTCTCCCAGAGCCTCTTTGAGTATGGTATCCTGTTCCAATATAGGCTGTAGTTTATTGATAATGTGTTGGACAGGTTTAAGTTGGGGGTTGTAGGTGATGACAAGTGGTGTTCTATTGTTGGTTTTCTTGGGTCTGTCTTGAAGTAGATGGTTTCTAGGTATTCGTCTGGCTCTTTCAATTTGCTTTTTTATTTCTCCGGGTGGGTAGTTGAGGTTTATAAATGCTTGGTAGAGATCCTGAAGCTTCTGGTCTCTGTCAGTGGGGTTAGAGCAGATGCGGTTGTATCGAAGGGCTTGGCTATAGACGATGGATCGTGTGGTGTGTTCTGGATGGGAGCTGGATGCATGTAGGTAACTGTATGAGTCAGTGGGTTTTCTGTAGAGAGTGGTGTCTAATTTTCCATTGTTGATTTGTACGGTGGTGTCCAGGAAGTGGATCTCTCGTGTAGAATGGTCCAGGCTGAGGTTGATGGTGGGGTGTAGGTTGTTGAAATCTCTGTGGAATATCTCCAGTGTTTCTTGGCCATGTGTCCAGATCATAAAGATGTCATCGATGTACCGTAGGTAGAGGAGGGGTGAAAGGGGACGGGAGTTGAGGAAACGTTGTTCTAGGTCAGCCATAAAGATGTTAGCATACTGTGGGGCCATGCGTGTACCCATGGCTGTGCCGCTGATCTGGAGGTATAAGTTGTTCTCAAACTGGAAATAATTGTGGGTGAGAACAAAGTTACATAGGTCTGCTATCAGGTTGGCAGTAGTGTCCTCTGGGATAGTGTTTCTAATTGCTTGTAATCCGTCTTCATGTGGGATGTTGGTATATAGAGCTTCTACATCCATGGTGGCAAGGATGGTATTATTGGGGAGGTTATCGATGTTTTGTAGTTTCCTTAGGAAGTCAGTAGTGTCTCGGAGATAGCTGGGGGTATTGGTTACGAAGGGTTTGAGAAGAGTGTCTACATAGCTGGATAGACCAGTAGTGAGCGTGCCAATACCAGAGATGATGGGACGTCCGGGGTGCCCAGGTTTATGGATCTTGGGAAGTAGATAGAACAATCCTGGTCGGGGGTCAGAAGGTGATTCTGTGAGGATTTGTTCCCGAGTAGCTGTGGGGAGGCTTTTAAGGAGACAGTGTAGTTTCTTTTGGTAGTCCAAGGTGGGATCAGAGGGGAGAGGTTTGTAAAATGTGGTGTTCGAGAGTTGTCTGGTTGCCTCCTGGTTATAGTCGGCCTTATTCATAATGACCACAGCACCCCCTTTGTCAGCTGGTTTGATTACAATGTCCAGGTTGTTTTTGAGACTCTGGATGGCATGGTGTTCAGCGCGGCTAAGATTGTGTGTCGCTTGTTGTCGTTTGCGAATAATGTCAGTCTGTGCGTTGTTGCGGAAGCTGTGTATATAGAAATCCAGATTGTAATTCCGACCGTCAGGGGGAGTCCATATAGAATTATTTTTCCTTTGGTGTTGGTAGGGGGGATCTGGTAGGTCAGATTGATGTTCAGTGGTGGTTTGGAAATATTCTCGGAGACGGAGGCGGCGAAAAAAAGCCTCAAGGTCACCACAAAATTGTATCCAGTTTGTGGGGGACGTGGGGCAGAAAGAGAGACCCCGGGACTGTACAGTTTGTGTGGATTTGCTCCTATGGCCCACGTCAACTTGAGGAACCGACGTGCTGCTGTTACCAAGAATTGTAAAGACGTACAATGGAAAGCCCATATAACATGACCAGAGTTGTCTCAAATGACACACTGTATGTTAAAGGGCTGCGGGATGGAAGTCAGGGAGCCCAGGGCTGGGGGGCAGGGGCTGCATGGCGGGAGGCAGGGAGCCCGGGGCTGGGGGGTAGGGGCTGCATGGCGGGAGGCAGGGAGCCCCAGGGCTGGGCTGACAAGGGCTGCATGTCATAGAATCTTAGAGCTGGGAGAAACCTCAGGAGGTCATCAAGTCCAGCCCCCTGCTCTAGGCAGGACCAATCCCAACTAACAGTTACCAATGCCTGGGACTACATACCACCTGTGCCCTGTTTTGGGTATGCAGGACAACCACCTGGGCAGAATTCCTTACTTTTCCTTTACATACAATATCTATAGAATGCCAAGTGACAGGACCCCTAGCAAGGGGCTTACCAGCTACGTCTCCACTGCAGGGTTCTTGTGCAAGAAGCCTTTTGCGCAAGAGTTTTTGCGCAAAAATGTCTTGCGCAAGAGCACGCCCACACCTCAAAGCACATTGCAAAACTGATGTGCTTTTGTACAAGACAGCGTCCACACTGCATGGATGCTTTTGCACAAGGAAGCTCTGATTGCCATTAACAGAAGGACCATCAGAGCACCTGTGCTTTTTCCCATAGGGGTTTCTTGCACATGAAACCCCTGCAGAGCGTCCACACTTGCATTTTTTGCGCAAGAGCTCTTGTGCAAAAAGGAGTTAAGTCTCGTAAAAGAAGGCTTACTTACACTGGCAAAAGCCCTCTGTTCTACCATTTTACTGCCGATGTACTTGCGCAAAAGCGCATTTGAGGTGTGGACGCTCCACAGGTTTTTGCACAAAAATGGCTGGTTTTGCACAAAAACCTTGCAGTGTAGATGTAGCCACCGAGATTTAGCACTGACTTAGGGCATGCCAACACTGGCACCTTTTGTCACCAACAACTTTTGGCAACAAAACAGTAAGAGCTTTTCACTGCAATGCAACTTTTGTCAGCGAAAACACCCACTCTTTTCTTCTTCACACTAAACAAACCCAAATCCCTCAGCCTCTCCTCATAGGTCATATGCTCCAGCCCCCTAATCATTTTGGTTGCCCTCCACTGGGCCCTCTCCACTGCGTCCACATCCTTCCTGTAGTTGGGGGCCCAGAACTGGACACAGTACTACAGATGTGGCCTCACCAGAGCCGAATAAAGAGGAATAATCACTTCTCCAGATCTGCTGGCAATGCTCCCCTTAATACATCCTGATATGCCATTAGCCTTCTTGGCTACAAGGGCACACTGTTGACTCATATCCAGCTTCTCGTCCACTGTAATCTCCAGGTCCTTTTCTGCAGAACTGCTATTTAGCCATTCGGACCCCAGCCTGTAACAATGCTTGGGATTCTTCTGGCCCAAGTGCAGGACTCTACACTTGTCCTTGTTGAACCTCATCAGATTTCTTTTGGCCCAATCCTCCAATTTGTCTCGGTCACTCTGGACCCTATCCCTGCCCTCCAGTGTACCTACCTCTCCCCCTAGCTTAGTGTCATCTGCAAACTTGCTGAGGGTGCAATCCATCCCCGCATCCAGGTCATTAATAAAGATGTTGAACAAAACCGGTCCTGGAACCGATCCTTGGGGCACTCCGCTAGAAACCAACTGCCAAGCTGACATCGAGCCATTGATGTCCCACTAGGCCCAACCTTCTAGCCGGCTTTCTTTCCATCTTACAGTCCATTTGACCAATCCATATTCCCTTAACTTGCTGGCAAGAATATTGTGGGAGACCATATCAAAAGCCTTGCTAAAGTCACGGTATATCACATCCACTGACTTTCCCATATCCACAGAGCCAGTTACCTCATCATAGAAGCTAATAATATTGGTCAGACATGACTTGACCTTTGTGAATCCATGCTGACTATTCCTGATCACTTTCCCGTATTCCAAGTGCCTCAAAATGGATTCCTTGAGGATCCCCTCCATGATTTTTCCAGGGACTGAGGTAAGACTGACCAATCTATAGTTCCCTGGATCGTCCTTCTTCCTTTTTTTAAAAATGGGCACTACATTTGCCTTTTTCCAATCATCTGGGATCTCTCCCGATTTCCATGACTTTTCAAAGATAATGACCAAAGGCTCCGCAATGACATTTCCCCGGTAAGCCAATATGGTCTCCTGCCATATTAGCTTCTCTTGCTGTACATCGGGATGGTTTATTCCTGTGCCTTCAATAAGGCTTCTTTAAAATACTGCCAGCTCTCCTGGACTCCTTTCCCCTTCATGTTAGAATCCCAAGGGATTCTGCCCATCAGGTCTCTGAGGGAGTCAAAGTCTGCTTTTCTGAACACCAGGGTGTGTATTTTACTACTATCTTTTCTTCCTTCGGTCAGGATCCTGAAATCCATCATCTCATGATCACAGCTTCCCAGGTTGTCACCCACCTCTGCTTCCCCTATTAGTTCCTCCCTGTTTGTGAGCAGCAAGTCAAGCTGCACATGGCTCCTGGTCGGATCCTTCAGCACTTGTACCAAGAAGTTATCCCCAACATTCTCCAAAAAAACCTGCATTGTCTGTGTACTGCCGTATTGGTCTCCCAACACATGTCAGGGTGAGTAAAGTCCCCCACGAGAACCAGAGACTGCGATCTGGAAACTTCTCTCAGTTGTCCAAAGAAAGCCTCATCTACTTCATCCACCTGATTCGGTGGCCTGTAGTAGACACCAACCACATAATCACTGCTGTTGTTTGTACCTCTAAACTTAACCCATAGACTCTCAACAGGTTTTTCTCCCTCTATATACTGGAGTTCTGAGCAATCTGTGCTCTCTGCTACCTGTTCTTCCTGAACAGTCTATGCCCTTCCATGACAGCACTCCAGTCATGCGAGTCATCCCATCAAGTCTCTGTTATCCTAATTGTCAGGAGGCAGGAAGCCCAGGGCTGGTTTGGGAGGGCCTGCAGATCGGGAGGCAGGGAGCCCCATGGCGAGGCTCGGAGGGGCTGCAGGTCGGGAGGCAGGGAGCCCAGGGCTAGGCTGGCAGGGGCTGTGGGTTGGTAGGCAGGGAGCCCAGGGCTGGAACAGCTGGGGGCAGGTGCCAGTCAGCCATTACCTTGCTGAAAGCGAGGCATTTCCATTCAGTGATCTGCTCAGAGATGGTGCGGAGCAGCCTCCAGACTTGCTCATGGGCTTCAATGAGCGCCCGGCCGCTGGCCACGAAGGACACATCTGTGCCCTCCCCTGGGAAGAACAAGAGAGCGTTTATGGGGAGGGGTCTTTCCCCCAGCCCAGACAGGGAGCAGCACAGGGATTGCTGTCTCTCCCCAGCTGGTTGGCAGATGCTGGGAGGAGCGCTCTTTGGCTTTTGGGGCACAGGGAGGTGGGATACCCTCTCTGGGCTGAAGACAGGTGGGGAGGGGTCACCCTGGGGACAGCCAGGTGTTGGCTCTGGGCAGTAGGGGGCCCTAGCAGGTACAAGCAGGGGGCCCATCATTCGCATGCCTGTGAGGATCTTCTGGGAGCGGCACAGCTCAGCCACCCGGCTGGCCATGGCCTGGTAGCGGTGGTGCAGCTCGTGCAGCTCTTGCTCCATTGCCCGCGGGCTCTGGGAAGGGTCCAGGAAACGCCCTGTAGTGGCCGTGGTCAGCAGCTCTTGCAGCTCCTGGCTGGCTCTCTGCAGGGAGCCTACAAGTTCAGCAACGATACTCATGTGCCGGGAGACAAGGAAGTCCGAGGCCTCCTGCTGCTGGTACACAAAGGCCTCCCAGGTGTCCAGGAGCTAGGGACAGAGCAGAGGCCAGTCAGGGGAGGGGGAGCAGGGAGACTAATGCACACGATGTCCTGGGCTTGGGCTTGGAGTCCTGGGTTTGGGAAAGGCTGCATTGGCTGCCACTGCCCACGGCTCCCAAAGGCACCACGTGCAGGGCAGCCAAACCCAGAACAGAATGGCAGGATTCCAACCCGGAAGGGGAACGTGTAATACAGACAGGTTCTGGGAGCACCACTGAGAGGGTCAAATCAAGGCAAATTGCTTAGAGACGGGGCTACTTACAACCCAAGCCTGGGGTTCTTCTCTCTAAGGCACCAAACCAGCTTCACCAAGCACTGGCCAGCAAGAAACCTCACAATTCCACAGACACCCCAGTGTTCCCTGTGCCCCCCCAGCCCCACCTCACACAGGGGAGAGGTTATAACCCATCCCCCACCTCCCCTCAGGCACCCCAGTGCTCCCTGTGCCCCCCCAGCCTCCCCTCACACAGGGGAGAGGTTATAACCCATCCCCCACCTCCCCTCACACACCCCAGTGCTCCCTGTGCCCCCCATCCCCCCCTCACACAGGGGAGAGG